GGAAATTTGTTTCAGCCCTGAATATAGGCACTTACCACGGCACCCGCGGTTAAGGAGACGAATGTGTGGAAAACTCGAAAGTTTTCGATAGAAAACCGAGCTTAGATTATGTTCGATCTCATTTTTCACCCGCGAAGCGGAAGTGCGGATGCATTTCGAGACTACCGCTATATTCTAATCAAAATTTATTACGCCTTTAATGCGATTGGCATTTACTCCGTGATCATGTTTCGTGATGTGCTTGAATATGGTATGTGGAGCATTTACAGCTACTTTATCTCGAAATCCTAATGTTTTGCCGAAGGTCACGACACCATTATTATTTCTTTATCGTCTCCGTTTGCTGCGCGAATAAGAAAATTTATTCGAAAAATTGCCCTCGATCGGAATTAAAAGATTATAGATACTAAGATTCTTTATCATTCGGCACTAAATGGAAAGTTACGACTTTTATTGACTCATAAATTATTTTAATTGCTACTACCAAAAAGTATGCTTAAAATTTATAATCTAATGGTTAGCGTTAGAGCGATAGATCTTTTTTGGTTTAAAATAGACGTTGCGGGAACTACTTACCGCAAGAAAACCAATTTTCTATATTACCCAATAAATCAATGTAATATTCAAAACATTTGACTAAATTTTTCATTAGTACGTGGCCGATATGGCATTCATCATTTTTTTTTTCTTCTGACAGTAACACATTTATGTTGTCCAATTTTCATTTCGGAAGATATACCTTTTCTGTTAATCCGTGGTCTATCAACAAATAGTATAGCCTTTACCAAAATTACTTTTTGACTACCTCTGGTTAATTTGTTACCATACCATAAGCGAATTCTAATACATTAGCTTTATGCATTTTCTACGGGTTCCCGTTCCTTCCGCACAATTATGAATCTAGCTTTGGTTCTTCGTGGCATCATTTCGTAACCTTTTGGTTGTTGACAATAGTTTACCTTTATCGGTCCGGACCTTTAATCCAAACTTCGATTTTTTTCACACTTCAATTTTAGCATACAGTTACGCTTAACAAGGGATTGCTAAATCATACAGTTTAATTTAATTTTCACTTCTACTTAAACAAGTTACTAATTTACTATGAACATCTTAATGGCGAGGTTCACGCTCAATTTTGACGAAGAGTTTATCTGAAAGATATTTGCAATCTGCACTTTTCATAGTCAACATGCCATGTTATGGATAGTAGGTAGAATGTGTTCGGAGCACTTAGTTTAATTTTTTTTCTTGCAAGTGTTTGCTTTGGTATTTTTCATCGTTTCCATTGTTACAAATTTTTTTTTTATAATTTTGATCATTAAATTTTCCTCAATTGGAATTTGCAATCGCTGGTTTTGTTTGTCATTACGAAACCGAGGTACATTTTTTAGTTGTTTTATTTGTCCTACTTTTTTCGATATTTGGATCGTTGTGGTGCCAAGGCAAACAAATCTATTTTTTTCTCATACTTTTGGCGTTTATTGCGCTTATAAATCTTACCCTATACACTTGTATATTGATCCTTGATTGGACAAAACCCGCACATAAACCCTTACTCAGATGTAGCAATCATTTTGGACCCAGGAGCTTCAATCTTCTATTTCATAAAGACGAAGACAAAGAAAATTGGTTCTGTTGGCAGCCATGGCGATTACTTGGACCATTATTTATAAAAAATTGCTTTGCACACAGACGCAACTTTTATATTAGTGGATGGATGGCGCCTCAAAAAATATTTAAATTGGACATGCTGCCACGGAAGGACATTTCAGGGGGGGTGGCCAACCCCAAACGATTTTTAAAATTTTTGATTATTTACTTAAAACTGTTAAATTTTACTGCCCATAAACGAATTCCCGAGTAGCTATTATAATATTTGGACTCCTTACCTTGTTTACCTGAAAATCCAAACATCTAACTCTCTTGACCTCTTTTCCAAACGATCTTGGTGCATGAACAACGATTTTGACACGTTTTGATCAAAATACATGTGGCTCCAGAAAAAGAATGTAATATCGCTGAATCAAACACACGCGGTTACCAAATGTGCATGCCATGTACTCTTTTGGCATCGAGATATTGCGTTTGCAAGCTATTACAAATCCAAATTTATGTGTAAATAGTTATTTCCCTAACAAGTGCGTGAAGTTGATGATTCCGAAATTTGGAATAACGTTTTTCCTACACTCGTTTAAGAATTAATCAAATAAGTGATCAATTCCCGCACTCGTGCGAGAATGTCTTAGTGCGAGAATGTCAATAGATTGTGGGAAAAAATTTTGGGTATATGTTCTAAAAGTTTTGATCTAGATTCCTATTATTGAGTCCACAGTGTTTCCTGTTCCCAATTCACTCGAAGTACTATAACTTTTGTTCCTGTTGAACCAGCTTCCTGAAAGTCAATTGCGTCCTGCCTTAATATCCAAAGTATGATCGGCCACTTTTAAAAAAGGTTATGGCGTTGAGTGAAGGATTACTCTACGGTTATAGCGCACATGGACGGACCGACAACAATACAAAACAATAAATCTGAGGATCCATAATAATTAGCGTAACACAACGAAGTTGAGGTAACGCTTAGGTATGTGCTCGATTTTCCGTCATTTCCGTAATTGACAGCTGGTATGGTCTAAATTTGCCCGTTGCCCTTCATTTACAGTAGTGTTAGGCGGCGACACCTACGGGCAGGTTTTGAAACCTTTCTCTATGAACTATGTGTATAGCCATTTTTTTCCTCACTTTTGTTGTTCTATCAGTTGTTCATTTGTTAAATACCCAAATAAGGACATTATTCTTATTAATGATTTAATGATTGAAAACCTGAAAACTTTGATTTGGTTAAGATTAAATCCGAAATTACATACGGACAACTAAATTCAAGTTTCCTAACCGAATCCAATATATGAATCTTATTTTCAAATTGAATCTGATCCTTTTCAGGGATATTTCTCATTTCTTTTTTTAATTTACAATACGAGTAATAATACTCCTTGCAGTATTATGATCTACATTTAGTATACCTAAGATAAACGTTAACTTACTTTACAACAGTAAGTAGTTGTGTTCATCGATAAAAATTCAAAGACGGTGTAATTCCAAGATTATTGCGATTAATCTTGAAGTAATTACGGTTCGAGTTGAAACACTTATCTCTCATTGTGGATGGTTTAATTGAATTTTGGCGAATTCCAACTTTTCTATTTGTTTTATATGGCGTTTGAATTTCTAAACCGTTGCCATACTATTATTTTCTAAATATTCCTCTTATAATCAAAGGTAGGTAGGTTAAACTTTGTGTTTTACTAAGAATTTGGCACGTCTTTTAGGGTTCTAATTTTGCAATGGGCTGTAAATTAAGATAGGGTCCATTTCGTAAAAGCTTTAGTAATACCAACTGAAGGATGCTGAAAATGTATTAAAATGCGGCTTGCGGTATAACGAGTAAAATTACGACCATATATGCATTCAAAAATCTTTGAGTGTTCGATACCGCTCCTATGTCTTTTTCCCAATTTTGTAAAATAGGGGGAGATGAAAGAAATGCTACAACTTTGAACTTTCAAAAAGATGGAACTTATCGAATGCCTGAAAAAATCCATCGGGTAATTAGTGAACCAAACGACAATGTTTAAAATCTCCCTCTATAATTAGAGATAAGGAGTAGATAAAAGATTATTGAAAACAGTAGATTGTTCGGCAATTAATAATGAAACCCTAATTTTAATAAATAAGTATGTACCAATTTACCAAATTATTAGCGGTACACTCAATTCAATAAAAAAATAAACGACCAATTAAAAAACCAATCGATTTTTTGTTCAACCCTATATGAGACGACTTCGCTTAAATTATTTACATTTTTCTTTAGGTGCCGAGTACCATGAAAATTCAAGAAGGAAATGTGCAATAACATACGGTTTCGGTCGAGGTTTTTCGGTGATGTGTTTTAATTGTTTTTCAGTCACTTCAAATTACACACCCTGCATGATAACTTTGTTCCAGTTAGCAATGTTGGAAAAACTTTTCATGTAACAAAACTTTTCAATTTCCATGCGAATGTGAAATACGGATCGCACATTTTTACGAGGTTCAATTAACAAAGTGATTTCATATGTAGTATGGACAGACGATAAAGCTCGCATCTATACCCTTCATTGTTTTATAAAATTTAGAATACTTTTATTGTGCATTAAACTTGTCCAGCAGACACTTTTATGCTTCATTACAATTCGCATTTGAACGAATTCGCGTCATGCGGTAGATCTGGTCATGACGAATTTTACAAAACGGAATTTCAAACAAATTTAAATTAAATGAAATCCTCATCGGAAAACAAGTCGCTGTTAAACGCACTTTCCCCGCGGCGCTTTAAATTATAAGGTGCATATACAATTACAGCTCTAAACGATTTCCGTTGCTACCGAACTGATCTTTCAGTGATACGAAAACAATTGAAGAGCAATTTGTAGGTGGCATAAAATATAATTAGACAAGTGCTAAAAGCAGTAATTCGATAAATTCAATTAATTGGATAAACATCACGACAAATACCACCGGTATGCGCAAAAATAATGGCACGATTTTGTTAATTTAAAATGCGGCGTATAGAGAATTTCATATTTTTGTTAATTGTCGTGTGCAGATGGTTTTAATGAGAATAAAATACTTGAGAAATTGCGGTGGGCCTAATTCGCTGAACCGAATATAATCACACTAAAATAAAACCAAAACATCAGAAAACACTGGCTCGGTTTCGAGTTAAAAATCATTACAGAACTCGGCGGAGGTGAAAATTGCGCTTCGTCTTTATATTTAAACGTTTATAGCACTCACAACCTGGAATGTTAGTTTCGCGGAAGTAACTTGCGAACTTTTTCAACGTTTCTGCCAAAAAGGGAGCAAATCTTGTTTAAACTTCTGAAAAACGATTTCGCCTGTAGAAGTGAGAAATGGCGAAAATTTGGTTTACGACCCGAGTTGTTGCTTAGTTTTTAACTTACCATAAAACAATCTGGTCCCTGAAGGCACATCGATTCTCCGTTAGGTCCGTCATTTGAAAACTGCAACCAAAAAGAGAATTAAATTAAAAACTTCATTAAACTTGCGACATTGCTGTTTGCGACAGTTATCCCACTAAATCTTTACCTGTCCCTTACATTTAGCCCAACTTTTTCAGCAGTTAATCGAGATAATTAAAATAATAAGCTCTCGAGGGGTTGAATGAATTTCAATTCGAAATTGTTTCTAGTTTAATTCAAGTCATACAAACTAAGCCAACGTATATAACATAAGATGAAAGAACAACCTGGATTATACAGATACCAATCTAAATGGGATGTAATACGTTAGGTCTAAATCGTGATTGCGCCTAGAATTTGGAATCCCAACTCTAAGCTGGCTTACAAAGGCTTAGAAAGCCAGGATTGTTTTGCTCACGTAACACGAAACGTACACTATAATACAGAACAAACAAGACGGTATCTCGAACTATTTTTTTAAAAATCCGCAAGAAAAAAACTGATTCGCTATATATTTCCTAACAAAAGGAACGTATGGTTTATTTTTACAGACAGTATGGGTAATTCGCTCGGAAAATGTGAGCAATGCAAGGCGACTATTGTAAAAATTGGCGTGAATTTGTTGAAAGTATTCCTACATTCTTAATGCTACTGTGCGGATCTGGCATAAATATTATTCAAATGGGGAAATAAATTATTCAATTACAAACATAGCAGATATATCAGTGCATACTTAAACTCAGTACAATGCTAGATAATCAAAGTGAATAAATTTCATTAGTGCATAGTTTCCATATGCAAGCCCTTTGGAATCCAGAAAACATTTCTCGAACGTGATATAGATTTTTACGTCTTCCTCACTGTACAATTATACGTTCCTTGTAGAATGAAAATTAACCACCCAAAGGTTAGACCAATTAAAAAGAAGACCGCCAATATCTCCCTACAATTGAATTCTATTATTATACCCGCGCAATGTCCACAGCATTGGTGTAAATAAAGATGGACGTGACGAAAGTTCCAGTATTATTGTAGAACACTTGCAGTGATTATACAAAGGAACATGTTTAATTATAAAGTGCACTGAAATCGTGACTTTTGAGGTCAAATTTGAACTAGAAATCTAGGAATACCTCACGCCTTTATGTACAACGCTAAAAAATAAAACTTATCGCGTATAACGAGTACCGATTCAGCATAAAACTTTTACACGAACTTGGGAAGTTTAAGTGCAAAACATAAAAAAAAACGTAGCTGATTAGTTTTTCACGTTTCTTACTCCTTGAAAGAGAAAAACGTATTATGACTAATGCAATTACACCCATCAATTTACAATTTGATCAAACACAACGAGTTTTATGAAACGTCAGTAAATCAATAAAACTGTAAATAAATATCTTAATAGGCAAGTTTGTTGGATCCATAAAAGAGAAATCAAACAACACGTCGACCAACAAAATGGTAGAGCTTTGATTTTTGAACGTACCTATAATTAAGCCATTACTACGACGTGATCACGATAGTGGAAATTCTTATGATAGATGGCAACTAAGCTCCATCGTTCCATTATATGAGGGTGTTATTTAATCTCCGGAATGCAAGATGAAATTTATATTATAAATGGTTTCATTAACTAATAGGATATTAATTATGCTTATGTGTTTATAGTGCGAATCGTGCGTAGTGTTTTTATTACTTCTTAGATTAGAGATTAGATACGACTATAAAATTGTACATCTAATACTGTTTTAGCAAAAATCAACTGTTCCAGATTACGTGCCAGTTAGCAGTGTGGATGCGATCTTCTTCAAATGACTTTTTACTTTCCGTTTAGATCTGTCACCATAAATTTAATAAGCCTACAATATTCTCATCTGTATGTTAACCAGCATGTTACATGAATATTTTGTAAAAAAATCCCGTATCCAAAATTATCACAAGTTATCTACGCACTTTAAATTTGTGGCCAGGGGCGTACTTCTGCATTTTTTAATGGCACCTACTAGTTTTCATGGTCTATTATTAAAGAATGAACTTTTTTGGATACTGGTTGCTATTTAAAAAATATCCCTTCCCCCCTTGACCATGCATAAATACGCCACTGACCACAAATTTAAAGTACGTAGATTGATAGCAAACATTTTATAATTTTCCATGCCATAAAAAGAAGAGTGGTCCCTTTTTGCGACTAAAAAAACGCATTTGAAATTTTTGAAAATAAGCGAGATGTCACCGAAAAACTGAAAATGTCAAATTTCGTTTTCATCAATCCTCTTGTGGGCATTTTTTGCGGCCGATCTGAATCTGTTATCAGAATTTCCATAACACGCTATAGATGTATAGAATCTACAGGCTACTACGTTCTTATTTTTTTAGGACGCTATATTTGGATTTTAATGGAATGAGATGGGTGACAAAAAAGAATTTCATTTGAATGTATCGCCATCGTAGCCATTTTGATTCGGCAGGATCTAATTACCCGTGGATGTTTTGTTGAGATAAAACATTTTATCTTGAAATTTTTGTTATAATTTTATGTAAAAGTATATCATTATTTTCCTTTTTTTGTCCTCTATCTCATTCCGTAAAAATCTAATTAGGCGTCGATAAGAAATATGGAAATTCAGATTCAGATTCTCCGAAAAAAGTGCCCATAGACGGGAACCGTTTAAGCTAAAAAATTAAAAAATAAATTTGACTATTTCAGTTTTTCGGTGATCTACACAGTTATTTTCCAAAAATTTCAAATGTCTTTTTTGGTCACAAAAACGAGCAATTTGGCTCCCATTTAACCTACACCGTATCTCTATTTGGTTAACACGTTTCTTTTTAGGTTATTGCATATGTTTTAATTTAATGATTACCTATCTTTCTTCTACCTATATCGCAATCCGAAACCCATTTATTGACGGAGTACGTAAGTTTTTAAGTAAGTAACCTCATTTTGGTGTTGTATTTTTGAAGCGTCTTTCGTGTAACGAGCATTAAAAGTTCTATCGATGAAGTACTGTTCTCTTATGAAATGCTGAAACTAGTGAATCAGCCTATGATTGATATGTTCTGCTTAGCTAGAACTCATCTAACACATGGTATTTAAGATCACACGTTCAGCAATGCAATGTGTAAAATATTGAAGTAGGTACCAGTCACTGCTCGAGGATCAAAAAGCTTGTTTTCCTATTTTTCTTCTCAAACTTCTACATTTTTTTTAAATTTCTATAAAAATTATTTTTCTAAGATGTTGCTTGGAAATACTCCCAAAACGGCGTCTAAAGAATGTTGTATGGTTTAGTTTAGAGAGTCCTAAAGTGTACAATTCGTTGAATTTGCTGCGATTTCGTGCTCGTGTACTTTTCAATTTTGTTTTAATTTGTGTGTTGTTCGCTGCAGCGATTTTGTTATTAAATGGTTTACAATTGTATGTAGTCGGGGGACGGGGGTATTAATTCAAATTGCGTACGAAGGTTGAGTGCGCTATATAGCAGCTCTAATCCTCTGCTATTTGGGGATCTATATTGGCGAAGTCATAGAGTTCAATAATAATGTCTTTATTTGGGCAGTTAAAGATGAATAAGTGATGAAAATAACAAAAGAGTGAGGAAAATCAATAGTTCATACATAAACAACTAAATAAACTAGATATAAATGTCAAAATCGCGAAGTTCACAAAAAAAGAAATATTTTTCGTGATCTTCCACTTGACCCAAAAAAATAAACTTAAATTAACAATAAAGTAAAAGATGGCCACAGTTCTAGAATACAGAATGAACACATCTTGATTAACCCAAACTGTGAGTCTAAAAAATAGAAAGGGCAAGTAAATGAAAAGTAGTGACATAAACAAAGGAAAATGAACAAAAATACCTAAAAGAGTTTTACGCACGACTTTTTTAAATTGTGAAATATTTAAATATTTAACATTCGACGGAAATGAATTATATACCTTCGCAAAATGTCATATGAAAAAGAAGATTCAAACATTTGTAATTGTTTAGGAATCGAAATGAAATCCTTCCGTGCGTTTGTGCGTTTAATAAATGCTAGGTTAGATAAAAATTTTGACAGACGGGAATTCCATGTGGTACAATAAAAGAGGTGATATCTTTTAATACTTTCGCACAGCAAGCACGGGGAATACGATATAGTATATTACGTAACGAGTGTTGAAAGCGATACTTTTCACACGAGATGTGAAGTTTGCCATACGAGGCGAAGCCGAGTGTGGCAATCACACGAGTGTGAAAAGTGGCTTTCAAACGAGTCATGTACACTATTTTTCCTACGACTCTCCATACAACCAAAAATCTACTTACATAATGAAACAAAAGTTATTTTATTTCGAACCAACTACTAAAACTATCTAAAAATACGAAATAGATTCAATTTCTCTTTAACGAACTATTGTTATAATTACTTTAGCAAAGACTAAAGAGGTAGGTACTTGTCGTTTGGAGCTTCTGCAAGAAATTTACTAATATTATTAGACGTACGCTATTTTTCATATCGGCCGCAATTTAGTTGGTAGTAATTCGAGTGTAGTGGATTTTGCCTCTTCCCTGATGTTGGGTGGAGTACACTCTACATCCATGGAAGAATCACTTTTCGCCATTAAAAATAAGTAAGGAATTAAATGTGTAGCACAAGGGAATAAACTCAAGAATAAACTAATCGCAATTTTAGAGTTTGACGTACGCCTACTACGTTGATGTTACAAGAAGATTAGACTACTACGAAAGCAAAACGTAACATGCGATTTGCTTTCTACTATATGGTCAATCTTATGAGAAAGCAAATCACACGGGTGCGTTTTGTTTTCCGTTACATTTTGCCATAAGTGAGCGAAATTGTCAATTTTCAAGTAAACATAATTGTACGACATATGTCATTTTCAATGAAAGTCGTAGGAAAATTAATTTATGTCGATATATCAAACATTCTTATTCGTGTTTGCGTGTATGGCATATTTAATAGTTCTGATGGTTTAAAATGTTACCACTATTTCGTTACTAATCATTGATTATTCCTCCTTTAATTATATCTTCAGCCACTGTTTTGTGCGATGAATAAGGTATACCAATCCATGACT